AGAAGAAGAAGAAGAAGAAGAAGAAGAAGAAGAAGAAGAAGAAGAAGCTCTCACAGAAGGAGCTTTCATTTCCAAGTCTGTTGAGCAGATTTTGTTTTTCTGTTTATAAATGACTTAATCTGTTGCATGTGGCGCAGCTTCACTGGTAGAACAGAAACAAATGTTGGAGTTCTAGTTTCATCTGTGCTGCTATGATAAACACCCTGACAAAAAACAACTTAGGAGAGAAAGAGGGTTTTTGTTTGTGTGTTTGTTTGTTTGTTTGTTTGTTTTTTCAGCTCACAGCTCCAAGATAGAGTCCATCCTTGCAGGGAAGTTACAATAGCAGGAATTTTAAACAGCTGCTCACATTTACAGTCAAGGAAAGAAAAAATAATAAAGCATGCAAGCTCACCTGGTTGCTCGCTTGTGCTCAGCTCAAATTTTCTATTAATACAGGTCAGTACCCTTTCCCTAATGAATGGTGCCACCCACAGTGGGCTTATCTTCTTCCAACTTAAAACAATTCTCCTAAAATAATTGTATGTGCGTTTCTTTGAAAGAGAGAGAACACAAAGTTGGGTGTGCAGTGTGGTGTGAAGGATCTTGGAGGTGTTGAGGAAGGGGAAAGAATACAGCCAAAATATTTTTGTATGGAAAATATTAAAAATAAAAATGTAATTATAATAACAACCATCAAAGCCAATCCCCTTCACAGATGTACCCACAGGCCAATCAAATGCAGACAGTTTCTCATTGAGAATCTCTTACCATGTGATTCTTGGTTGTATTGAGTTGGCAATAAAAGCTTGCTGAATGTGTTACATGTGGCTCAAGTAGGACTGACTAGGTATCCTAGAATGCCACTGCACATAGCATAGAAATAACCACGAATGATCTTCACATGGGGCCGATTCTGCTGTTTTGACTACTGCACAACTATGGAGGTATAGCCATCTTTATCTAGACTCCAAACAAAACATGGGCAGACTGGGGGCAATGCCCTGTGGAGACCTCTGTGAGGCTTTCTCATTAGGATATTGTTACTTCGAGCTATAAAGTTGGTACCACCACATAGAAATTGAGTCCTAAGAGCTGGTATGCCCTCAGAACACCCAGACGTCTAGAGCCAGCAACTTCATCTAAGATGAACCACAAGTATAAGCTATAATCGAAAAAAAAAATCACATAAACACTGCAGCCTAAGATGTTTCCATTAAAACCCACGGGACATGCTTCCCTGGAGCCTTCGACACCCAGTCTCTTCCAAGACTATGCAGAAGGCAGAATGGTTTAAAGATTACTCTCAAATCTTAAAATTCAGTGTTTGGACTTACTGAGAACCATGTTAACTCCCTCTCCTCCCCCGCCCCCGCTTTCTTTGGAAGTATAGAATTTGTTTGACCTCTTGGGTTCACATAAGGGAATTTGCTTCTTTGAGAACCACAGCTAAAGTTATTATCCCCACCTGCTTCAGGGGGCACTTAAGTGAGAGATACACACAGACTTTAAAGTTGATGGTGGGGAATGAGAATTTTCTAATTATAAAAAAATGTATATTTTTATACATGAATTTTTAGGTGTATGTGGCAATGTGTTGCAGTTTACATATGCCCCGTATGAGTATGTATGTTAAAGCCTGAAGTATGAAGAGGTGGAATATTTAGGAAAGGATTAAGTGATTAGAGTACCACTCTTATAAATGGGATTAATAGCTCTATAAAAGTATTCTTTTATGTGGGGCTTTAAAAAATGAGCCCTTCTGTGCTGACCAGCATAGAATCACGTAGCAATAAGGTGGCAATACGGTCAGAGAATGGGATTCTCAGGACACTGAATGAGCTGTGGCCTTCACTGTGGACTTCAGTCCTTAAAACTGTAAGAAATAAATACCTGTTCTTATTACATAGTCTAAGACCTTCTGTTATGAGAACAGCGACTGAAGAGGATACGAAATCAACTGAGATCCAACTTACTCTGTAAAGTTCGGGTAAGAAGAAATTTCTCTGCATTATTCCTACATGACTCATTTTACTGGCAATGTGTAATTAAAGCTGAAATGTTTCCTAGCAACTGATTCTCAAACAAGTGTGCGCACACACCATAACCAGACAAAATTTTATCTCACAAATATGCCACTGTTTGTTCTCTAGCCCTGCCAGACAGAGAAATGTCAATATCTTTATGATATAAACTCAGAATCCACAGGTAAAATCACATTTTCACTTGTAGAGAAACAGAATTAAGCATTGGTTTTCTAGAGCTTAGTTTCCAACCTGGGTAAATTTTTAAACTACTTTTTGGCACAAACAGGGGCATTTAAAGTCATATAAATATGGAAAGGAGATGGAAGATTAACTTGAATATGTGAACAAGAAACAGAGCGGTGAGTGTTTCCCAGTACCCAGCTCACTTTTACACAGTCCAGGATCCGTGAAGAGGTCATGGTCCTGCCCCTGGTCAAGACGGTTCTTGGCATATCAGTTAACACAGTGAGGAAAATCCCCTGTAGGCATGCTTGAAGGCCCATCTCCCAGGTGATTCTAAATTCTGTGACATTGACAATTAACAATAACAATCCCAGCTCTACCCCTTGTCAACATGAAACTCAAATAAATCACATTTAACCCATTAACCCACAACCTCTTCTCTCCAAAAATTCATAGCCAAATGCATTCGTTCCTATACAGAAAGTGTTCATCGTCATTAATAGTTTCAACACTTTGAAACTCTGAGCCCTCTTAACCTGGAGCTCTTATAAAACCAAAAGCCAGTTACAAATTTTCAGCATACACAATGGCAGAGTGAACATTTCTGTTCAAAAATGAAAGACGTAGGTCCTAGCTAGGAACAGTCACACTAAACAAAACCAAAATCCAGCGGGAAAAAAAATGACCCATTCCCAAGTTTTAGCATCTGGCACCAGGGCTTATGGTATACTAAATTGGACCCCAAAGGGTAGGATGGCTCACACATCTCTCTCTCCTGCCTTCAACACATCTAGCCTGGACTGGCGTCATTCTATGCCTGCGACTCTCCTTTGTACACATCCCATTTCCCTGGAACTTTCAATATGATGGGTTTTCCACTAGTAACTTAAGCTTCACAGTTTAAGCTTCATGGAGGAGTCTATCAAGTCTTCCTTCCAGATACTCTGATTGTTCCACATTGGTTAGCCTGAGCTGTTTTCTCATTACACTCTAAAGCTTTTATCTTCCATGCCTTCAAAACTACTAACACACGGATGACACTGCCAAGTTCTGCTACCAGTAGGACATGTAACCGGCCCTCCCTTCCCCACACCTCTATCAGCATCCGTGTGTTGGCACTGGAATTGTATTTTATTTCTTTACTTCTTTAGGCAGTAGCTTTAGAGAAGTAGAGACACCCATTCCCCATGTTACATTCTCAGTTCAGGCTCTCTCGGTTTCTAAGTTTTTACTTTTACAAGTTGAAGATCCTGCCCTTGTGTCACCTTTATTATTGCCATAGTGTAGAGGAAGGGGTTTCCAGTTTTTGAAGGCAGTTTCCTCTGTGTAGCCTTGGCGGTCCTAGAGTGGCTTTGGAGACCGGGCTGGCCTCGAACTCCTCATGGAGATACATACACCTGCTTCTACCTGCCGGGTGCTGGGATTACAGGTGTGAGCCACCGCACCAAGCTGATATTAACGTCTTTAACAACTGTAAATGCTTTCTTGTTCTCTCTTGTTCCCAGCCGTAAGCCTGTTCTACATCTTTCCTCACCAAACTTCACATTTGTTATGTCTTTTTACTGAACCTGTTGCTTTCTCTCACTGAAGATCTGAGTGGCTGTGATCTGAATGGTTGTTCATAGTCTCAATAACATCCTACTTTCAAATTTCCTTTTCTATACAAATTAGGCCAATACATTTGAATTCAGATAAACTTAACCAGGACGAGGTCACAATAAAGTCAGGCTCTTTGCCAGAATAGAACAAGAATGCCTTAGCCTTGTTCTTATGTGTCCATGTTCCCCTATGAAACCAGGCCTCAACAGTCCAAATTTTTCACTGCTTTTTGATCTTTCAAAGTTCCTACCAGGTAAGCTCTACTAACAACATTTTAGAGTTTTTTAGCCCAAAGTTCAAACTTGTTCACATTCTTCCCACAACCAGTTCCAAAGACTTATGAAGTTCATGATAAAGTTTACTAAAGGAACAGCCCCAAATCTTGGTATAAACATTGTATTAGTTTTTTTTTTCCCCCCCCTGCTGTAGGGATTAAAAACACCCTGATGTCATGGTTAGTTTTCATTGCAAAGTTGACATGAACCTAGAGTCACCTGGGAAGTCACCAGGAAACCTCAGTTGAGAAACAGCCAAGATCAAATTGTTCCCTAACCATAACCATGATAGGTTCTCTTGATTAATTGAAAGTAAATCGCAATGACAAACACTATACCAATAGAAAAGTAGTAGAATGAGTGAGTCTTTTTTTTTCTTGTCATTTTTTTATTATTTTTTACAATTTGTTCACTTTGTATTCTAGTTGTAGACCCCTCCCTCATCTCCTCCTAGTCCCACCCTTCCTCCCTCTTCCTCCCCTATGCCTCTCCCCTAGTCCACTGATAGCGCAGGTCCTCCTCCCTATTGTTTGACCCTAACCTTATCAGGTCTCATCAGGACTGTCTAGATGGTCTTCCTCTGTAGCCACTAGGGAGAGTCTTAACAGTTACTGTTTCTTGGCAGAAAAACATGCTTTTTTTGTTATTGTTGTTCACTGAAAACCATTTAAAATTGGCAAGTTATAATAAAAATATTCAACTCGGGGCTGGAGAGATGGCTCAGTGGTTAAGAATGTTACTTCTCTTCTGAAGGTCCTGAGTCCAATTCCCAGCGCCCGAATGGCAGTTCACCGCCATCTCTAATAGGATACATTTCCCTCTTCTGGCATGTAGGCGTACATGCAGACCCAACACCCAAATACATAAATAAATAAATCTTAAAAAAATATTATTTCCTCAAGACATAAAAATGTTATTTTTATCTTATTAGCATTTTACTGAGTAGTATTTCCCAGCCAACAAAAAAATAACTTTTAAAAAGTTTTCAAAATATTTATTTCCAATATCAGACTTTTTTAAATAAAGAAATAAACGAACTAGTTTTGATGGAATTAGGCATAATTATATAATAAAATCAACAGTTACAAGGGTTAAATTGAACAGAAGATGGAAAACAAATGACAGGTTATGACTCAACTTACTTTTCCATATTTTAAACTATTTTTTGTTTTTTAATCTGAATTCAGTATATATTTTAGAAGTGTAGAGAGATATCACACTATGCCTCGTGTATTATATTACAGCTTAATTCTGAAACTTTTCAATGAAGAAACATAAAAGCACTGGCTTTCCCATTTATATAGTCTCATCGTGTAGCCTTCAGGTCTTCATCTTCTTCTTTCCTTAGTCCCCACCACACTGCTGATTTTTGTTCCTACTCACAGCCTTCAAAAAACATGTAATCCTATACAGAAACAAAAACACAGAAACAGTTTTAAGGAGACAAATAATGACCTATTCTCAGAAACAGAAAGTTAAGGGCATTTAATGCCCGATGCTATAATGTCATTCAAGATGAATTAAATGTGATGATTAAATGTTGAAAAGTCTATAAATAAGCTCAACCCTCCCCTTCTGAATACAACAGCAATTAGATTCTATAGTTCTATTTTTACTTTGTGTCTGTACAAGTTTAATTAATCCCCTCATATCTTTTCTAAATATTTCTTTCTCATATTTCCCTTGAAATCTTTCTTTTTTAAGTTTAAAATTTTTCTTTTATCAATGATTTAATGCCTACATATGACTATTTTGTCTATATGTGTGTGTGTGTGTGTGTGTGCGTGCGCACGCGCATGTGGTGCCCATGGAGGGCAAAAGATGGTATTGGATCCCCAGGAACTGGATTTGCAGTTGGCATAGACTGTGAATTGCCGTGTGGACAGTGGGAGTCAAACCCAGATCCTCTGGAAAAGCAGCCAGTGGTCATAAGCTCCTGCCCACTCCTTAACTTTTTCTAGTTTCTTTCTAATGATGTAAGAGGAGACTGACTCTATAGACTTGGGATTGATGCAGCCTTCTCATTCAGAGTGAAATGTCCATCAAGCTTTCTGTTTTATTGTTGGAAATTCTCTTCCAAACCTGCCTACTGATTCGGATATCACATCCTTCTATAACCAATAAATCCCATGGAAATATTTATTTCCCATTTCTTATGTTTTTATTCCCCTGACAGCAATAACTCAGGTCTTTTGCTGATCACTTACATACTATAATGTTTATGGTACCTTTTCAATCCATTTCTCATAGTTCACTTAATAGTTCTCTCCAAACTTGTATTCACAAGCATTTTATTCTACCTAGCTTTGAACCAAGCCATACCCAGTTTTAAATAACTTTGTATTTAAAAAAAAGTTTCCTGATGTTTAAAAGGTTCTGAAAAAACATTTTCTTTAAATTGACACAAAAATGTTAATTTTTGTATTTATGGAATATGTTTCAATATGTGTAGTATAAGTACTCTATCTGCATGTACACTTGCATGCCAGATGAGGGCATCAGATTCCAATATAGATGGTTGCTGGGAACTGAATTCAGGAACTCTGGAAAAGCAGACAGTGCTCTTAGCCACTGAGCCATCTCTCCAGCCCCCTAAATTTACTTTTTAAGTGTAAAGAATACTTACTCAAAACACAAACACTCTCTTCTCTTTCCATAAAATGTTGGTTTTATCCTTTTTACAAAAAGAAAAGCATAACTCAAAGACTAGCAGTGTGTGAACTGCTCCTTTGGCTTCAGTAATGGTGACTAATTTGAGTGATCTGTGTCTATCTGTTTCTCCACCATGCAACCTTTTCCTCCTACCCACATTATTTAAAAGCAAAAAACAAACAAACAAACAAAAACAAACAAACAAACTTGATCACACCAGTTCACATTAAAGAGACACAGATATGGTAATTGTTTTTACTAAGACACCATACCAAATTCTTTACACTATCAAATAGCCAGTCATTGTTCATATTTACTTGAACATCTCATAAATGACTTTTAATATAGTTTTTCTTGAATTGATGTCCAAACATGACCCACAATCGGTATTATGATGACAGCCTTTAAAGCCTCCTGTTTTATTTTTAGCTTCATTTTACTTTCTATTTGCTGAAAGAATACAAACTTTAGGGCTGCACAAGCATTTATTTTATTTTTTTTCAGATTGCATTTACAAATCAATGTTTAAAATATCTCATCTCAAACCTTGCTACATAATGGAACCAGCTGGGAAGTATACAGAGACTAAAAAGCACAGACAAATTTTCAAAAAGTTTAATTTAGTTGATTTGGGTATAATCTGGTTAGGGTGAGTTCGATGTCTCCTAGGTATTTCTATTGTGTAGCTGAGGCTGAGGACTGCTGTTTTCTTCTAAGTAACATTTATTATTGCCTGCACAATGGAATCTGCTATGGTACTATAAAAATACTGACCAGGAATTTCTGATTTATTTGAACTGCCCAGATACCTAGAAATATGAATGTGTAAATATGAATGTTAAATGCCTGGATATATAACATTATTGAAATTTATAGTTATCTATTAGATAAATTTAATGTCTGAACATCTACATTTCAATCAGACTTTTTGTACTTAAATAGAGATTCAACACTTGCCCCAAATCTGTGCTTCTATGGAAAGACAAGAAACTGAAAAATAAAGTTTGTTTTGTCTTCTGACAAGGTAGAAATTCCACAGAGAGAAAGCAGTCGTCAGGGTCTATTTTCAGGATTAAATGCAATTTAACAAGCTATTAACAAAGTGGAAATGTCATGTAAAACCTGTTAGGGATACACAGTTTTCTCAATCATTATGAAACAATTCTAATGAGGACTAGAAGGAAGAGACTTACCAGGAGGAAACAGGCCCCGAGTGACACAGCCTTCATCTTCACGTCAAGATCTAGCGGGAACTGGATCCCAAAGTTATCTGAATCCGTGAAAGCCTCCTTCATACATCCAGACCACTGCTTGGTAATCTTGCCAATTCTGGGCACCTCATCAAGAGACTTGATCTACATATGAAAATGCAATCATAAGGATTAGTGGAATGGGTATGGCAAACCTGCTTTCAAAGATGGGATAAAATCAGACAAATATTTTATTAAAAATAAGTTCAAAATGTTTTTCTTATTAAATTTCTAGAGGCTATTGGGAAGATGATAAATGAAACTCCTGTTAGGCTATCTGCTTTTAGAAGGTTAGTTTTCATTGGCTGACAGCCTAAACGTGGCAGAGGCTCATTGTCACCTAGGGAGTAGAGTACTGTGGATGAGAGGCATGAAATGCAAAAGCCCAGAAAGATCTAAAGATCAGCTAGTGAGTGGAAAGAACCAACAAGAAGCTTCATGGAAGGCTGCCAGATGGGATAAAAGTTGATAATTAGTGGGGTATAAAGAATACAAGAAGAAAGGCATGTAAAAACATTCTGATTTGGGGGCTCCGTGGGAGGAAAGCCCAGGGCTGTTATACAGTAGAACAGATTGGACCCAAGCTAAAGCCACTCCATAGAGGGCACATGGATGCTCACTGAAGTAGGAACACATAGGCTTGTATGCAACGAGAAGGAGGTGTGCACTTTCCAAACCTGCAAAGGACACCAAATGTAGGAATAGCTCCCTTTAGAGCCCTTGCCCCAGACAGGACCCACCAAGTAGACATAGGACATTAGAGGTATTCACACCTCGATGTGGCTGGAGGAGTGCACCTTAAATGTACTGCAGTCTGCCTCTAACATGAAAACTCACAGATTATTGCTCCGAGAATAGTGCTTGCATCCCACGCAAAGGATAGGCCTAGTGCACTTTCTGTTTCCTTCGAATTAGGTTTTGACGTGTGTCTAACTTGACAAAAGCATGTGGCAGAGCCCTTGAGTGCTCACCATGGGCTAACTGGCTTGGCCTGGATGTGAGCAGATGGGAGGTCATGTGTGGTCCATGGTAGAACCATCTACATGGGCTTCCACTGATGCACAGAAACTCAGCTGGCCTAAAGGCCATGATGCAAACACAGTGCTGTCTGTTTGACGGCATAAACCATCACAGTTGTGCTAGATATGACATTGTGATAAGCTGGTCGTAAACAACATCCTCTTTTGTAATATCTTACTATTTTATGTGCAATAGCTGTCATTTAAGATTTTATAGTCAGTCAGTCATAAATAAATAAACCTTCATAAGTTTTTGAAGTGTGAAAGATATTATGAAAGCGAAGTGGCAATTTTCCAACATCACAAACCCAATACCACACAGATAAACACATGATTACTTATCTTTTTTTTTTTTTTTTTTTACAAAGCAAAGTTAAAATTAACTCAATTATTTCAGATGTAATTTTATGGGGGTGAAGATCAGAAATATGAACTGTAAACTACACTCAAGAGTAACCAAAGTAAGAGGATTTTTAGCTAAATTTAAGAAATGTGTGTGTGTGTGTCTGTGTGTGTGGGTGTGTAAACCTGTACAACTTGATGAAAGTGAACAACTTGGCTGTTTTCCTTTTTCTCCTTCCACCCCGTTCATTAGTCCTGTGGATAGAACTCTGATCCTCAGGCATGGTTACAAGCAAGCCTTTGGCTGCTAAGCCACCTATCCAGACCCCAGGTAGGATTTTAAACAGGGCATCTGAACCAGAAAACTTCATCTCCAAGTTAACGACACAGCATATCAATAATTGTAATTGCTCTGCTCGGAGTCCTCATGTTATTGTTAGTGACTCATACAAGTATTTCCCATTTTTTAGAACATGAACACTGTTATCATGGCTCCTACAGGAAATGGAACAAGAGGGCGTTTCTTAGTTCTGTCAAAGAGAAGACCTGGATAGCATCATTCTAAATAAGCAATAGGGGTGTAACCCACTCAAGGCTATCTGAAGCCATCAGTACAAACAGATGGCACAACTAAACTGAAAATCATTAAGAGTAACATGAAACTCCAGCTTTTTTTTTTTTTTAATATTAATTAAGCCCATATCAGCAAAATTTTCCTTAGTATTGTTCTTACAGCCGGGATAGAATGTGAATAGACTGTAATAAATAATAAATAAGCAAAAAAAAAAAAAAAAGTTTTTAAACCTCCCCATCTTTAAATACTTGTCAGTAAAAGTAGAGCAGCGGGGCTACCTAGACCATTTGTTGTTGAAATCTTATAATGTCAGACATATTCAAATTCCAATGGCTTAATTTACTGCAAGGGTTTATCAGTGACCAGAGGAGCAGAACTGTGCTTTATGCAAGGGCTACATGTGCTAAGACCCTTGCCTACAGATGCAAATGGCACTGCATTCTGTGTATATGAAATCAAGTCTTATTAATGTACTTTGGGTTCAGAGTTTATTTGATGAATCTGGGAACTGAACTGTTAAAAAAAACCCATTAGTAAAACATAAAAAATATGATAATACTCTATGATGAAAGTTATGAGAACGGGTTGTCTCCCTCAAAGGATCTTCCTGTCTATCCTTTCTTTGATGAGGTGAATCAAACAGTGGCAGGTAATGAGACGAAGTGAGATAAAGGCTGCACAGGTCATGTGTCTGCTTTAGGCTATGGTGAAAGGGCTGTTTGATCACTGCAGTGAGAGAGCACACGGGCAGGCCTCCTGACTTACCCCCAAGGGGTTTCGGTGAGGGACACTGAGGAGGGTGTGCAGGAAGATGACTCACATCCAGGCAGGATGGAGCACAACCAGGGGTTAGTTCACACGACTGGGAATAGGGTGTAATTTACAACCTAACCCCTGTTTATTTCAGGAATCTTCTATTTCAGATTTCCAAGCCACGGTTCACTCTGGGTAATGGAAAAGTTGGAAAATGAAACACCAGAGAAGAGAAAAGATGTGGCTTCTGTACTCACCATACAGAAACCATCACTACACCAGTGGAGTTTTGATAGGGATTCCTAATAACAAAATTTGTGGACTTGCCCAAGAGCTGATGAGGTTTACAATGCAGAATAAGAGCAGAAAGAAGAAGAGCCCAAGAATTACTCCAAGTTTCTTGGTTACTGTTAAGTATAAAATAAATAATACCGTGTTAACAAAAGAGTCTCTCTCTCGTTCTCTCTCTCTGTGTGTCTATACATGTTTACATGTGTGTATTTATGCACTTATGTTTGTGCATGGGTGGGCATGGTATGTATGACGTGATGGGTATGATGGAGGCCAGAGGTCAAAGTTACATGCCTTTTATCACTCTCCATCCTGTTATTTGAGACCAGGTTGCTCCTGCCTGAGCCTGGCTGCTTCCTATAGACGTAGACTGGCTGGCCAGAAAGCCCTAGGCAGCCTCACTCCCCCACACCCTGGAATTTGGCATATCTTCACGCTAGGGTTTTTCTATCGGTGTCACGATAAAAATTCAGGTGCTCATATTTGCACAGCAAACAATCCAGCCATGCAACCAAATCACTAGCAAAACATACAGAATTTTAATAATGCTGGACATTTTTTCTTTTCCTTCTTATTTGTTTGTTTGATTTGACCTATTTCTATGACACTGAGGATACTCTGTACTACCCTTTAATAGAGTAATAACCTGTGCTCTGAATAATTAAATGGTCATTAGTTAGATGGGCACGCATCAGCTCACACTATTTAAGTAATGCATTAATAACATCTTATAGAAACATACTCTCTCCAAGTCAAGAAAACATATCCTGTGGGGATTGATATTCCTTACCTCAAAGTCAATATCTGAACAGCAGGTACATGCAACACAAGGGCCAACAATTTTTAGAACATCCTCCTTCCTTTCATTTTGAAGGGTGAGCTTTGGCAGACACGGATGCCAGGTCTGAATCACATAACCTATCGGCACACCAGGAGGAGCTTGGATCTCTATCTACAAAAGCAAGAGTGCACATTGAATGTAAGCATAGCCATACAGTCCAGGCTTAATGCGTGCTGGAAAACTCTTGTGGAACTTCTTCTCAAGCTGCTATGGGAACTCCACACTGACCTCCTGCAGGCAGCAGGGGAAGCAACAGCTACTGCATCTCAGGGGTCTCTCCAGAGTCATGACTTCTCGGCCCAGGTTATCCAGGATCCTCATGGTGAAAGGTCTGGCTGCTTCACAGCAGTTTCGAGTGCAACAGTCAGTATCTTCCACGGCAACATAAACCATCTGCCCGAGGCTGTTCTTGATTTCAAATTTATTATTTGTTTCAAAACCTGTTAAGACTGAAAACATACAGGGAAATCGCATTCACCACTTTGTTAGGGATAGTGACTCTCTCCTAAGGTAGTAGTGGGTTGCTGTGCATGATACCACCAGAATCAGCAGGAGATGGGAGGCAAGCAGTGCTGAGGTGATCTGCACTCAGGAAATGGCAGTGAGAAAGGAGAAAGACTAGTCAGTTAGGAAGGAACAGCCATATGTGAGACTTCCTAAGTGAACACGCTGAACCTTCACCTCCATGGACTCTGCCACAAGGGGACTCAAGTGTCCATGGCATACAATTGATGAGGAGGAACATGGGGCTAGGCATGAGGATAAATGTTCTGTCATCCTATCTAGCAAAACATACCTTTAAGGGCTTACACGGTGATTGTTATGTTTATAGTCCATGGATATTTTAACCAATACATATACACACAAATATATACATACATATATATATATATATATACACACTATATGCAATCAATAGTTGGAGGAATATATACATATACATGTGTATATATGTGTATGTATGTATATATATATATATACATATACATATATATATGTATATATACACATACACCTTTCCACACCATTTGACCTAAAGCAATAAAAGGAATTTCTTTTGAAAAAAAAAACAAATTGTGAAAAATAGAACAGGACATTAGGCCAGGGAATCCATATTTAGCTTAGAAGAAGATATTTCACAGTAGGGAGGGGGCTTTTGACAAGAGGTGAAGTATTTAACAGGATGTGAACTTGAATTCACCTCCTGTCTATGACCAAGAGCATTCTAAATGACCTTTCCCATCACGTCATGGGTAAACAGAATAAAGCTAAGTGTTAACACCCAGAGATCTTCAAACCATGGCCCTTACCATATTTACCCTCATTTTGCAATCCTCTTTTTTTAAAGCCAAGACAAAATAAATACCCTTCCTTGTCTATAAACTTCTGAGACTCGAGTCTCAGGTTGTTAGAAGTCTGCCAAAATCTTGATTATTTGAAATCTGCAGCAGCCCACTCTGCCATCTATGTGAAGGACTACTGGTCATCCAGAGGTGTGCTTTATCATCCTGAACTCACTAAAGTGCCTTTTGTGGGGCTGACACAGTCCCTGAGCTCTGCCCTCATGGGACACCTTTCCCTCAGCATTCAACTGTCATTCAGTCAGCTGATTTTGAGCGGCACTTATCCAATCTACTGCCATTTTAGTAGCTTAACCTCAGAAATCCTGAGTTACTCCTCCTTACTATCAAATAAAAACATTTAATCCTCCTTACTATCAAATAAAAACAAACCAATTGCATGCTTTAATCTTTTGTTTATTGAGAGTGTATTTGCATTTGCTTGTGTATGCCTGGGCCTCTGTTTAAGTGTGTAGTCACATGTTCACAAGGCTAGCACAGGGTACACAGGCTCACAGGGGTGCTACCCTTGAGAACATACGTGAAGGTCACAGTCTGGCATTAGAGCCCCACATATGTTGGTTTCCACCTTTTTGTTTTTTAAATTTTTTTTTTTTTTTAAATGGAAGCCCGCCCTTTTGGCTATTCTGGCTGGCCAATGAGTCCTTAGGATCTTCATGCCTCTGTCTGCGACTCCAGGTGTTCTCTGGTAGATATGAGGGATCTAAAAACAGGTCCTCAAGCTTCCACATCTAACATTTTCCCAATGAGCCAACCCTCAGTCATAAGTTCAGATCATATCAAGCCTCGTTAATTTTCATTTCCTTCATAGTATTTATAATATCAAAAATTAGATGTTAAGTTCTGAGGAAGAAGAATAAGAATTTTCTGATACATGTCAACATACTTCGTATTAATGCTAATAGATTTGAAACTTACCTTGTTTGTTGTGAATATATATATATAGTGAATATATATAGAGAGAAAGTGACTATATATATATATATATATATATATATATATATAGTCACAAATACATTGAGACTTAAAACTCTAAAAAGAGATGGGTTACATTACATAATACATAACATCTGCCACTTATTTTGCAAAGAATAAATATCATATGTAATAAAACATTTTTAAAACCAGAAAAAAATTATAAAGACATAGTGAGTTCCATTTCAGAGAAATTAGTTGAGAAAATTAAGAGTTCTGAGAATATCTAATAATTTATATTATAAAAATGTACTTAAGTGATGCATGTATTTTTTTAAAAAAATCTATGATTTTGTAACACTTATGCTCTAATTTCTACCAGTGAGAAAGAATTTGGCAAAGTGGTGAGGTTATTTCTAGATTCCAGTCAAGTTTTCATAATGTCCGAGCACCTAGACGAGGACACTGGTGCTCAGCCTCTCCGACACCACAGGGCCTTGCCCTTCAGTGGGGAATCCACAGCCCACGGTGTGCAGACTCCATAGGCTTCCTCTGCACTGTCAGCAGAAGCTGAGGGTACTGACAAGGACTGTGTAAAACGTCCCTGTCCCACCATGGACCATTCCCTCTGGGAGCCAAGCCATTGCCATTGCCTGAGGCTCTGGCCACACACAGGAAGAGAGTAGCTCAGAGGCAAAAGTCGGGAAGGGCTGCGTGCACAGAGGAAGGGAGTTCAGCTGACTGTTTCCGTTCTAACGTAGTGAGAGCTCAGCGGAACACACGTCCAGCACAGGAAGCTTTGGCTCCTAGTTCTCGGAAACAGACAGGAGATAATATCTGAAAGTTCTATGTTGTGAAGAGAGGCATCTGTGACCTCATAGAGGAACCTCCCAGAGGACAGTGCTGTAAGAGGGACCACTGACAGGCCTGAACTGCTTCTATTCCTACAAGTACCGTCATCACAACCGATACGTACCTTCCAGTAGTTCAACTTGCTGGTGAACCAGAATCTGATCAATCTGTTACAGAAAAAAAAAGGATAACATGTGCTTAAAAATCAGTTATCAATCCTTAATATTATTAACATTCCGTATTTTGCATTACTTTTTGTATACCATTAAATTTTATATGTTATGGGGGAGCATTTATTTAAAGATGTATTTCTTTCTATGGGTATGAATGTTTTGCCTACATCTAAGTAAATAAGTAAGTAAGTGTGCTACTTGTAATGCAGTACTTACAGAGGCTACAAGTAGGAGACAGATTCATGAGAATTGGAGTTAAAGAAGGCTGTAAGTGGCCATGTGTGTTGGGACTCCAAACTGGGTCCTCTGCAAGAACAGAAACTGTTCTTAATTCCTGGGCCATTTCTCCAGATGCAGCACTAGTTTTGCTTAAAGGGTTCATTTCAAAATGAGTCTTTACCTCATATAAAGTTGATTTATAATGGAATCCCCATAACATTACAAATCAATGTTCTCTCCAGAAGACAAGATTGATTGATTGATAACTTACTTATCCATTTAAGTAATTTTTATAGGATGCTATCACTTATTGTAAGTGATAACTTTCCTTAATATTTTACTTGCCCAGATTACACTATATTCTAGGTTATTTAAAAAAAAAGATTAAAAGTTTTCTTTCTTCTTCTATCTGAATGTTCTGCTAAGTTCAATCAGTGCTGCCCAAGTGTGCAGAGGTGTGGGGCTAACAGTGGCCACACCCTCCCTCTTCTGGCTTCAGTGGAGGAGTCTTGCCTGGATTCACCCTCTCCAGGCCTTTTCAGGTAAGCACCGCTGCTGTAAGTTCAGGAGCTCAGCAGCCGATTCACACCCAGAAGACAGCATTCCATTGCACCCATCCTTATTCTCCTACATGCCCTCTGCCTCCTCTGGACCCTGAGGCTTGATTGGTGTGTTGATAATGATGTCCTCTTTAGGGATGGACATTTACAATGGCTGTTGTTTGAGTGCCTAGGGGACATGTTGGGGCTGTATGTACCAGACAAGCTGGAGATGGCTTGGATAGCACAGGCTCCTCATGGAAGCACCTCACAGCCCTCCTTTTATCTCACTGATTTTTCACACAGAGTTATTATTAAACTTCATGTTGTTAAAACTCATTATCACTGAATTTAGTAGGTCAACAAAACCCACACTTTCTTCTGTCCCTGGAGGCATTTATAATACTGGAGTCAAAGCAGCCTTATAGTCTATAAAATTATATGCATGAAAAAAACTACTCTGTTAGGCATCACTTAATGATAATAACTAATTCATTTTTTTACACTGTTTTTTTTTTTTTTCCTCAAATTTCAAGGATCTGGGTCAGTCTTGGAGTAAAAAGTGTTTCTGCTCAGTACCAAAGTCCACATTTCAAAAGTAAATCACAATGACTGACTGTTCCTTGGTTTTTGAGCTCGAACAAAGCAGTTAACATCTTTTGACACTAGTTTCCACTTCTGAAAAGAAAAAAAAAAAATGGTGATAATTACCTTGCCCCCTCACCATAGATTTTCTCTAAGGATTGTACTAGGGACAATGAATAGAATAATGTTTAATTGGTCCTGCTGTTGGCTGTTATCACAGGCTGAATTCACAGGAATAGAAAACACAATTATCTCACACATTGAGAGTTTGCTTAAAAGGTGAACTTCATCCAGGGGAATTATGAGTAACCAGAAGGCATGTCATGTTTTAGTGAATTAATCATTTGTTGTTGAAGCAAATTAGAAGTAGAAATACTGTTTTTCTTTGGTGAGTTGACTTACCTGATTTAAGTATTCTAGCCCAGGCGGGCAGTTCAGAAGAGGTGGAGGTGCTGGCATCCATTGGGTATTTACAAGAACTATAGGCTGGTTATTTTTATTATGAAACTGTGTTGCATAATAACCTTCACAGCCAGCTGGTGAGACCGTGTAGCCAGCCTGAGGTCCCGGATAACCAGAATGGGAAACCTGATAGTTAGTCTGGACTGTGGAGCGTCCAGTATGTTCTGGAGGTCCTGAAATAGGAGCAAGAATAACAATGTGTAACTTCACAGAGAAAAGGTATCAGCGGTTCATAGAGAATAATCCTAGACATCTACTAAGTGTCTCTGCTCAGACGGTCTGTGTCTGTGATATTCAAGACTTCTCAATGCAGTGTCTGTGATTTTTACCTGCTTCTAATTAAAAGGGATGAAGAATGCACAGCCATGTTTATTGTTATATTATTCACAATTGCCAAGATGTGGAATCATCATAGATACCTACCAACAGAGGAATTAAGGAAATGTTATACACACACACACATATAGACATAGCTATAGATATGAATTTAGATATAGATATGTTGATATGGATATGGATACAGATATATACATAGATATGAATTATGGATATAAATAATGGAGGCTTATTCAGCCGTAAAGCAGCATGAAATCATTTGGAAGAAGCTGTATGAAACAAGACATCATCATCTGAGACAAAAGCCAGCTGCACAAAGGCAAATGCCTCCATTTTCTATCTTTTGTAGAACCTAAATTTAAGAAACATATATGTGTGTATGCATGTTTATGAGTGTGTCCTTTAATGAATTCTGTTACTATGCTACACTTAAGTTTTTCTAAGATGCTCACTCTAAGTGTTGAATCTGAGTGTTACATTGTACTGTGTTCCATTCCTGTCGCCAAGTGCAGTGAACAATCATGTGGCACCTGTCACACATGCTCACAGGTATAAGGCATAAGCTTATTACCTTATAAGGTATAAGCTATATTATAAAGTATAATATATAAGGTATAAGCTTATTAACGTTTCCCTCTATTCTACTGCTCAGCTACCTCTTACATTTTTACCTCTTACAGCGTTTACTTTTTTTGTAAATCAAAATATTTTCCAAATAACATATGGTTGCTAAATTATGAAATTTAACTATCTTGACACCCAATGGAGTTTTTTCAGGTTTGTTTTATTTTTTTTGTCATAAACAGACCTAGAAATTCATTCTGTGGAATATGCAGCAAAATGATGCATTTTATTATGATGTTTTCACACATGTATATAACTTCCTTTGAATTTTTTAATCTCCCAACAAAATGAATATGTATAAATGAAATGAGAATAAAACAAAACAAAAATCTCTAGGCAGTCCGTCAATCCACGTAAATAATGGGATTGAACTAGAATGAACTAGACTGTCTTTGCATGTATTCCAAGGCACTGTAAAGGTAGTAAGATAATGTTCGCGGCTGAATGATGCCGCGAAATGTTCTGGGCCCTTGATGTTTAATGGCAACCCTGGGTTCTATCCACTAGTTCTGAGTAGTGCCCTTCTCTCCAGTTTTAGTAAATAAATACTGTTCTAAATCTTCCCAAATATCTTCAGGAAGCAGCAGGCAAAACCCAGTCTTAGGTGACATGTGTAGGTCTAGGAGACACTACGTGGAGGCATTCTAGGATTACCACACCCGTACCCCGCCCCAAGACCTTTTTAACTTGAATAGCTGGATCAGGGCCTTCATTTTTTTTTGGTCTAACATTCAGTGTTTCTCTCTGTTACTCTGGGTCATAGTGATTTTCTATCTGACTATTGGGTTTTTAAAGGATTTTTTAAAAATCTGAGCTGTGATAAATGAACTGTATTGTGTTCTCATTTTTGTAGCTTCTAATTTTGTACCCCCTGACTCTGTGTGTGTGAGAGAGAGACAATGACATACTTGCATATCATATCCTTTGCTCCCAATTCATCTGTCACTACCCACCCTCTTCCCACTAGTTCTAACTAGTCCCTAGAATATCTGAGTATACTTTTGCACATCTTTTATAGTAGGGTTTCTTAAATCTAGAGTCTACATACAAAAATAATAAAAATAGGTGTATCTGTCTTCAGGAGTCTGACTTTCTCTCTCTCTCTCTCTCTCTCTCTGTGTGTGTGTGTGTGTCTGTGTGTGTGTATGTGTGTGTGTATGTGTGTGTGTGTCTGTTTTGTTTGTTTTTTGATACTCTTTTGTGAGATGGTCTTACTGTATTGCCCTGACTGCCAGGTCTTTTTAACTTGCTGTGTGGGTCAAATTGGCACCAAACTCAGAGATCTGCCTGTCTCTGAATCCCAAACCTGGACTGTATCTCTAAATACAGTGTTGTCTAATTTCATCCACAGTCTACAAATGACATAATTTCACTTTTCTTTCTGACAGAATAAGATTGTGTGTGTGTGTGTGTGTGTGGAGGGGGGTGTTCCATTCATCTGTTGATAAGTATCTAAACTGACTCCATATTTTGGATATTACAAATAGTATAGAAAGAACCGTGGGTAAATGCTTGTGTCATGCTAACTTAGATTCCTTTAGAATGGCACATGGTAGTTCCACTTTTAATTTTTGGAAAGATCTCCAATACTAATTTTCTTATTAGCAGCATTAATTAACCAGCAGAACATAAGTCCCCATCCCAACTCATACCATATATTGCTGCTCTTTGAAGTGAACCATTTAGAATGGGGTGACATGAAATTTGATGTAGTTTTAATTTTCATTTCTCTAATGACTAGGGACTACTGAATTCAAATAAGCAAGCTGTAACACTTGCAATTTATAACTTCCATAGCAAGTAAGATTTACAGAGGTTAAATATATGACAGGTGCTGTTGTAGGAATCAGAGACGTACAGACAACCTCTAGTTCACTTAAACACAGCGAAATTTCATACTAATGTGACAGAAAGAGTTATGAGAGATATGACAGTATATGAGTCAGTTACTTTACATAGATTATATTTATGCTGATAATTAAGACAGGGGAGTGGAAGTACTTCATGAGATAGTCTGTAAGAAATGTTCCATATAGAAAGAGAATGTCAAAACCATGACTGCACATGAATTTGGCCTGACTGTTAAAGAGGGGGACGTCTTTCATGACAACTAGGAATGGCTAAGTAAGACAATAGGAAACAGTTCACCTGGTTCCTTACTAAAGAGCTGGTGTGTTATTCCAGCATACACCAGCAGATATGGAGGAGTTTAAGGAGAGTAGCACAGCCATATATATCCACTGGAAACAAAGTCATAAAGCACATTTCCAGCAAAGCTGAGCCGAATGCTGCAACCACTGTCATTCTATCTTTCACTTTTGTAATTTAGTCTCAGAGTGTTGCATTCTTGGGGACTTTCTGCATTGTGACTCATCTTATGTCTTTTTTTTATGGCTTAGCCTTTTTTTTTTAGGAGCGTTCTAAACATTACTTTATCTGGCCCTATTTGGAAGTCTTCCTCATGCCCTGGAGATCATTAAGCACAGGTAAGCACACAGCTAGATGAGGCCACTACTCCAGGAGTCTTCTTGGGGTATCCGCCCCTAAACAACTCAAACAGTATAATTGGTGCTGGGTAAACAGACAATGGACAGCTCTGACTGGCCAGAAGAATAGGTTACAGATTCAAGGCCTCCTTTTACCATATGCTTAGAACTCTCTGAAAAGGAAGTTTAAAGATAGGGAGTCGTACAGAGTGTACCCCTGGAAAAATAGAGGTCAGTAAATAAGACAGATTGACTAAAGTAAAACGTTTCCTACTTAATAGTGTAGATATAGTATAAGGGGTTAGGTATTAATATTTGTGATTCATAAAAAGAGTGGTTCAGAGTGGTTCAGATATTTTCTGTTTATCTAGTGTGCTTTCAAACTGCAAATACTGCCAGCCTAAAAGCAGGCTGACATATTCTTTAGATTCTTTAAATTGGAATTAGAGGGGTGATAATAGAAGTAAAACCTGTCCTGTTTGTATTTTCTAATTGTGACTGAACTTGTAACCTTGGATGTGTAATGAAAAATCAAACACATAATCTGTACGTCTTGGGTGATCACTAATGTGTCTTTGTTCTGTGAAACCTGGATAAATAAAGACGCGCCTGGTTGGCTAGGGCAAGTCAGAGCTGCAGAAGCAGTCTGATTGCTAGTCATAGCTGTGAGGGTCCCCTGACCACCCTGCCTGACTCACTCCTTCCTCCTCCCTCCCCCAAACTCCCTTTCCTCACACCCCGGCTCACAGACTCCTTATCTCCTCTCTTGGGCAGAGGAAGACCCAAGATAGGAGAATATATTCCATGACACCAGGCAGCTACGGAGCAGAAAATGCAGAGTTTGAAGCCTCATCCAAACTCTCTGTACCTTAAATTTTCCAGTGTAAGGGAGATGGTAATTGTGCAGTGGTCTGGTTAAAGGTTCTAGAAAGACTGTTTGGACAGAAAATCCAATGTTCGGTACGTATGAACAGCGCATACCTGAAATCACTACTGTACTGCTTAAAATACTAATCCTATGAAATGTCAAAGAATTAAACAATTACCCCATCTCATTGCGTAGGGAACAATGCCAAGAAATTTGTATATACAAGTTCAATACAAATACCGTTCTTTTCCCCAAAATAGTTTTGATTGTTTTGGGTTGAATCAGCAGACACGGGCACAAAACATTGTTTCTTAGATCCTAAGAGAATTCTTAGATTAACCAGCCTAACTGAGGGAAGTCCTCACTTAGGACAATGCATGTGGCACAAATACCTTTAAATTTTAAGTCATCATCACTTTCACACATTGTTATCTGAAGATGTACACTGTATACAGTCTTGGACTTTAGAAACCAAAACAAGCTACTTTTTCAACTAAACTGCAAGCCTGAGAGTGACTGAATTTAACATGTATGCCTAGTTTAAATTACCTATAAGGTTAATTAAAATGTTCTATGGTTGCCTGGGTTAAATTAGGGACATGCTAGGAATTCTTGAAGTTCTTTATCTATAAGAATTCAGAACAGACGCTCTCATCCCAGGCCCTATATTAGAACCACTTGGCTATTCGGATATTACCAGTCATTGTTTAGAGGTGTGATTTAATTTCCCTGGGAAGATTCTGTGTATTACTATTTTTAAGTGAAAATTAATGACAGCCATGGCTGAGAACTGCTGCCTTAGAGCTCTGGAGCCTAGCCAGCTCATATTCCTTTAATTGCAAACATCTGGATAAGATCTGGGACCCATAGGGAGTTTCCCAAGACAATTACACAGGCCATTCAACATCCAAGCCAATCTGTTTACTCAGAAAAGAAAACAAAGCACATGTACCCTTCTGCCCACTGGAACACCTTTGATATTAATCCCCAGGGTACTCTCAGAGGATCTAAATAGTCTGCTACTGGTAAATCTGGGCACACCATCAACACTGGCATTTACAAAGGTCCAGTAATGCTGACCATCACATTTGGTTGTCTAGATCTCTGAAACAGTCTACTCTTTGAAAAGATAAATGAACATCCTATTATTATGATATCTGACTAACTTCCTCTTCTTATGACAAAAGAGTAGGCAGCATTCATGAGGGAGGTTTCTATGGGGTAGTGACATTTCTGTTGTACTCAGCCTATAGTTTTAAGTTTCTTTTATTTTTCACTGGTTACAGTTAATTCCAAATACTTCATGGCTCAAAAACACCCACAGTTAGATCTTTGAAATACTTTCACAGGAAGCAATTTTCAGGACAGGTGAACGGCCAATAAAAACACTTTACTTACTATCTGTATCAAGATTTAATTTATTTTCAACCGTATATTTCATAAATAAATATAAACTCATGGACTACTAAAATACAGGCATAGTCGCCACCTTTTTCATCATCTCTCAGGAACATCAACTGTTTAGTGTTATTTTTTTTTTCCTTCTTCCACAAGTACGTTACCTTGCAATGCTGCTGGTGGATATTGAGGGACATATCCTGATGGCAAATGTGTTCCTGGGTAACGAGCCTCCATTTGGATGTCTGCAATTCAGGGAGAGGTACATGGCATATCAGCTTAAATGGGATGTGCATCAGGAACAGTGTGCACAGTGCCAGGACCAAGTGCAGTGCTGAAATGAAGCATGCAAGGTAAACACAACACACTGAGTTGTGCCTGTGAAAGGGCCAAGATGGAACAGAATCCTGTCTGCAGCAACTCCTCTTCTAGGTAGCTTGAGGTAGTGCTGAACACGCAAAAGAAAGGTATTCTAAGCGCTACCATTTCATTTTCAGGCTCCACTTAATCTCATGGAAAAACTAAGTTCAGGGTTCCAGGCCCTACGAGAACTGGGGACTTCCCAATAGCTGAACAACGTCAGTTGTAAGGAAACAGTTGTCTGAATGCTGCCATCTCAGGGACAGCTAGTAAGGAGACAATTGTATGAAACCAGCCATTTCAAGGACAACTTCTCCATCTTTCTGGCAAGAGCAACTAAGTTCATGTCCTCATGCCTGAGACCCTACTCCTATCCTGACTGATGGAAACTCCCTTGCTCAACCCCTTATGTCAAAATGTGATTGGACAATGCTGCAGCTAACCCCGCTCTCACTCACTTTATGAAACTTTACGGTTTCATCCTTTAACTATGCTGTACGGCAGCCCTTCAGGGTTGTAATTCAGCTCCCGACTGTGTTTTGCAGCCCTGAACTGTTAATCAGCTGTGGCTTGATTGTAATAAATTTTCGTCACCTGCATTACCTGGTGTTTGATTTACAATGAACTTAAGTAAACCCCACAACAGCCGCTCAGTTACTGGGGCTGAATTCCAGGGAAACGAACATGCTTCCATTTGTGACTTTAGAACAAAGATAATTTTAAAAGCACATACACATAGATAAGACATTTAGCAGGAAACACTAAAACTCTCTGTATGTGGTGATGGGACTGGTAAAAGTGTGGATTGTTTTTTAATAAACTACTTTCATTAATTCTTTGAGAATTTCACACATGTATTTTTGTTAGATTCACTCCAGTTCCTGCCTTAACTCTTCCCAGGAGAGTACAAATTGGAGTCAATGGTTTATTAAACTAAGAATTAAGTGTCTGTAATCACTGCTTTCAGAATTTTAGGGTTTTGATGCCTCTACTGTTAAAGAGTATTTGTTGCTTGTTCAAGTTCTGCTACCAATAGCCCCATTGGGGTATAAATAACTGCCTGTAATTCCAGCTCCAGTGGATCTGACACCCTCTTTTGGCCTCTGGTGCAACCGAACACATGTGTAAATACACATACAGTCACACACACATACATGCATATAAACAAGAAAACAAAGTAAATACTCCAGCATATCGCCATTTTCATGCTTGTTCTGGATCTGCACTACTGAATTGTACAAAGTTTCTAAATTATAACTGACTGATTTCTAAACACTGCACCAGCCAGTTATAATCAACTAACATATTAGAATGTTATCTTCTATATTATGGCTGGAACCATCTTAATATATGCACAAATGTTTCAACCTATTGCTTCTTCATAGTCATGTCTTTCTAGCGGGTCGTTTACCCATCTCAAGTTGTCAATAAATATGTGGTGAACGTCTTCCTGTGCTACTATCGGTCACACTCTGGGTGACGACGTTCTGTCATTACAGACATTAGGATCTAGTAGACATTATACTTACTTATTGAATAGAGAAGAAAACAGGGCCTGGAGAGATGGCTCAGAAGTTAAGAGCACTAGCTACACTTCCAGAGGACCCTCATTCAATTCCCAGCAACCATAGAGCAGCTCACAACTATCTATAAATCCAATTCTAGAGGATTTGATACCCTTACATAGACATACACATAGGCCAAACACCAACAGACATGAAATGAAAAGAACAAAACATAGAAGGATACATTTTGACTTTTAAACTGGTATTTTTGGCATGTAACACTTTTTGGACCTTTAAAGATCACTCAGCTCTCTTATTTATTATGTATGGATTCTATAGGAAAAAAAAACCACACAAAACAAGTCAGGCAGTGACAGCATATGTCTTTAATCCCAGAATTTAGGAGGTAAAGGCAGGTGAATCTGAGTTTGAGGCCAGCCTGTTCTACAGAGTGAATTCCAGAACATCCAGGGCTACACAGAGAAACCCTGTCTCGAAAAACCAAGACAAACCAACAAACCAACCAAAATAAAAAATGAAACCACAAAAGAAAGAATAAAGGATAAAACACTGTAGCAGAAAACAGGTAAACAGATTTAACAGGGAGAATACTGAAACCACTTTCCTTATGTGCCCATGATTTAAATGGGCACAGAACAGGCCCTTCTGTTAACACATCACCACCAGACTGATCGGTCCAAACAAGATGCCCCGGAACTACACATTTCAGACTCGTGAGCTGGTGTTCTTCAGCCATCTCATCGAGCCAGTCAAAGCTTTGTGTTTGACTCTCTTCCTGCTCTGCATTTTTCAAAAAGACTAGGAAATTGGTGGCTGGCCCATGACAATCAACAATTTTCTGAAAGCTTTGGGATGAGTGCAGTGAACCGAGGTAGAAATAGGTAGTAATAGGTAGTGCCCCCTCTGAATGTGACATATTTATCCTGTCTGTAAAGTGTTAATCTTCCCCAAATTTTTTATGAGATGGCTTTCTTTATTGATAATGCTTAACTAGTGAAGGTTTTGTAAACTTCAACAAAAAATTTTAACAGCAATTTTAAAGATTACTGCCTGTTAGTTTCAGCTTGCCTCCATGCCAGAAAAGTACCAAAGTGTATCTAAACGTAAATTATCAGTGGCTTTTATGAGGAGAGATATAGAACACTTTTCCTTGTTTTATATTAAAATTTTTAATTAAGTTAACAGTTGGATTAGGATTATAATTTTTGGATTATAGATCTGTATCTATGAGATGAAAATATTTCTGTTCTAGTTTTAAAAACCGTTTCATCTTACATCTTAGCTATGTTAAATTGAGAAGTCTAGAGCAAGCTGGAAACTTAGGACATGCTCTGGGGAGGGTGGGAATCCGTAAACACATGCTGTGTCAGGTGGATCTTACAGAGTTGCTGGTCTAGGCCTTAAACACTCCAAATGAGAATAAGCAGTGTTTACTTTTCCAAGGCAAGGATCACACACTCTTTGCACAGGATAGACTCTAAAATGTTCATTTGTTCACATTCCTCTTTTCCTTCTTCCTTTACTGTCACATTTCTATGAGTCTTAACAGATAAGATAGTGAGGAGGAGCACATACTACAAAAAGGCTGAAGAAAAAAGTCTGAGTGTCTTCACTGTACTATGGACTTTAGATGCAGCAATAATAGGACATCACAAGCATTAAATGGTATGCTGGGAGCTGTGGCTCAAAGGGTTAGCTGCTTTTGTAAATGTACCTGTACTTGTGCCAATTAAAATAAGCAACTCTGTGACTGATGACCAAAGCCAGCGACTCAGACAACGCTTTCTTTCTATGCTATTATATTATTTCCTGTGTGCTATTACAATGATCTTTTGGTTTTCTCAACCCTAATGGATCTTCTCAGGCATGATACTCAGTTTTGAAAGGAATTGGACATATCCCTGGCTTAATTAATTGGTTAATAATTTATATATCACCATTGTGAAATAACTCTTATGCAAGAAAAGAATTACAAAGAGACGTTAGGAAGAACTCTTCATGATGTGTTTCTGAAGTTTCTGGTAGCATTATCCTGTGTTCCAAGCCATGATTTTAGGTACAATCTGATGATCACACACATCTTCTGAATTATGGGAGATGTTTGGGGGTAAGCTGAGCCTCCGTTCTGTTGAAAATCGTAAGGCCAAACTCATGTTCTGAGCTGTCTGATAATTACTGCACTCTCCCAGCAAGGAGAGGGAGAATGGTGTAGGGATGCTTCATAGTTTATGCTTTAGTAAAAACTTTTTAATTTACTCTCCAGAATTCGGAAAATCCTCTTACAGCTCTCAGAAAGTATTTTTGGAATATCATAAAACTGTTATGATAAGTAAAACAAAACAAAAATTTAGTTCTGAGTTACTTAATGAGGAATTACTAGTTAAGTGTCTAAGAACAAATTTCTCATTACAAGTCATTCAACATACAAAATAAGCCAGTTTACATGATTAGGGCCCCAAATTTGTAACCTGTGTTACAGGTTAGTTTGCAATATTCTTCTGTTCTAGAGGCCATCCCAGAATTCTAAGTCTCTAATGTCCTACCAATAAGTTAGACTTCTCAGTCTTACTATATTGTGGAAAAGAGAAGTAGAGACTGAAGCAAAAATAATGAAAATATGTTGCAAATCAAATAATGTTCATGCATTTCTGGCAATTCTGTGGATACATTCTATGCATTTGAAAGATTAACATCTAAAAGAACTGTGGTTTGGGTGGTTGTTCTATGGAGCCAGAATAGTTGTATTTGAACACACGTAGGCTAGAAAAACACCAGTGAGCTGTTGGGGACACAGTGCAAGCCAGAAGTGCTGTAGTGGAGAGAGCTGGCTAAATGCAATGTATTCTTTGAAACTGTAAGACTTTTTATCAAATTCTAGGCTTAAGGGGGGGGGGGGGAATAAAGCAAACATGCTTAGAAACAATTAGGAACTGGATATTAGAGAATTTTATTCATAAACTTTGAATGTAGATTATATATCAGCCAAGACAAATGGGCCTTCTAAGTTTCAGAAAACCCATTAAAAAAAAAAAAAAAAAAAAACAAGCTAAAAAAGAGACAAGAGAAACAAGAACTGATTTAGCTGTTTTCATTTGATTATACCTGTAAACATTTTCTGGACAAGCCTGTGCTCCCTCACTCTTTGGAATTGTTTCTTTCCCTCCACACAAATGAAACAACTAAACCCATCAGGTAAAAGTAGTTACTTAATACCATGTAGCTCACTAGTCACCCGGATTAAGATGATTAATGGTTCATATCCTGTGCACTCATGTCCTTATTTCACAGCAGAAAATCAACAAACCAAACAAACTAAACTGAAGGAAATTTCTTAGCAACTGCCATTAAGATGCCTTTCATATAAGGGACAGAAAAGCCTTTCATTTTCAATCTACTGTCCTGGCCATGCAGGTTTTCCTAAGGTAGGAAGTATTTTAAATACTTAATAAAACAAAATTCAGAAAGTAAAAATAATCGTTAGGTTTAATTACATAGACTTTCAAACTGAGTGATATATAATATAAGCTGTAGAGAATGGGCACACACACATATTCATACAAACATTTCCTATTCAAGTATTTAAATATTTGACATAATGAAAGTCAACTGTCACTCAGTCCTCTAATAACTTATACTAGTTAATGTAAAATCAAATTAACTCTTTAAGTCTTGTACTAGTTGCACAATTTCTGAGACTAGCTGCAGGAGAACACATGAAGAAAGAGCTCACGGTCCACAGACCCGAAGCAAGGGAGAGGGTCACACTCAGGCAGCCTGAGTGAGTAATAGGGAGCAAACCCACTCTGCCTTCTACCTGCTCTGTCTTTTCTGTGCATCTGCCATTCTAGAATGCCCAGAATAGTCTGGGCTCCAGTTAATATTTACCCTTCACTAGCTAGCAGGCTTTGTGACTTGTTCCTCTAAAACCTCTCCGTGTTGGCCTTGATGAAGGGCTGCACTGAACTGTGAAACAGTGTTATTAAGTTGAACTGGGGCCTCCTGTGATCTTTTCAGACAGGATGTGATGCAGAAGGCTAGGCAGGAGAAAAATGAGTAGGAAGAGAGCCATCCGCAGCCATCGACTACTTCCCAGGCATGATTCACTATGTATGAACATCCACGTCTTCGCATTCTGTATCCCAAATGCCTGAAAACACCCTGTCCAAATGGTATAGCCTTTGGTCAGGGGAATGAGGCAAAAGCAGTCACCAGACCATAATTGATATATTACAAAAAAAAAAAAAAAAAAAGTTTAATAAAATAGGCTGCAAGAGAGACAGAAGCAAGGAGATTCTCAGATACAATGACCCTCCTGAGTGGCAACGGGTGTCCAAAACAGGTAGGAACAATTGCTTGGTCTCAACTCATGTGCTCCACGCGTTACAGTCCACATACGGACAGACATGTGGGCACCCCATTGTCTTGCTAAACAATACTTTTTCTAGAACTATCCTCCTTTGCAGGTGAGATGTCTGGACCATTAGAAGTTAATCTCTTAACATTTGGGTGAGACCTCACAAGACTCTCGGTCCAGCTACTAATAGTCAACATCTGATTATTCTGATGCGTGTGGGGGGGTGGGATTGTGGAATTTGGCCTTTTTGTCTCTATAGGTAACATTCTTTACAAAAGTAAACTGTAGGTGCCTCCTGCAGGGGGACAAGGCTGCTGATTACCCCCCCCCCCCCCCCCATAAAACAGAAAATCCTGTTTACAACCTAAAGACCAGCCTGAAAATGAAAGACAAAGGACACATCTAAAGGCAAGATCTGGACTCCAAGAAATAACTGTCTCCTTGTTAAAAAGGTGCAGGAAAACAACCCTCAACTCCTTCCCTGCCTTGATGGGCAAACCTGACCGAGCTACACTTTACCTGGGCAGGCAGAATCTGGCGCGTGCGCCCACCTCCGCCCTCTCAGATTCCCTTTCCCAGGGTCTCTGTGCTTCCTGGGTCGCTGGAGAGCCGCAGATCCTCTTGAGACAGACAGGGCAGCTGGCTTACCGTTCTTACGCGGCTCCACGTGAGCCGAGTTCCTGGGATCGTGGCCCCAACAGTGACTCCGCTCTCCAGACCGCTCTGCGAAAGGCACAGGTGCTAGAGTCCGCTAAAGTTAGCGAGAAAAGCACCCCGAAGTGACTTTGGAGCAGTCGCCAGGGCGTTAGGTTTTGTTTCCAGAGTTTTGCGTTTTACACAGAAAAACATTTCCTCCCCCCCCCCCCCCCCCCGCCCCCGGAAAGGCACGCCCCTGCACCTTAATTGAACCCAACCAAGCTGCAGGCGGCCCTCACCTGATCCTGACAGAGGCTCAAGGGTAAGATAGAAATGATTTGAGCTGTGCATCCTTCTGGGAACTCTTACCGGAATTTCCTTGGCTCTGACCTCCACTACATTCTTCAGACGCTGGGACTGATTTACAAACAAGATTCAGAAATGCTTGCCCTTCCTCCCCCTCTTTTTGTTTAGATTTGAGTTTTATTTTTATTTTTTGTTTTGTTTGGGGTTGGGAGAGTCTGAGCATATTTCCCAGTAGTCTTAAGATTTCTAACTTCTACAGAGTACCGGCAGAAGCCAGCATGACCAGCCAATATTATTTTTCTTTTTTCTTTTTTGTCATAACCATGGGACGGCTGTTGTTCACATTCTGGTGAATAGGCCTCTGAGTTGGAGTCTCGCATGATCTGTTATGGTCTGGGATCACTCAAAGATTCACCACGACCATGAATAAATTTTAATAAGAAAAGTCTTTATTAAATACTGGCATCAGATACTCATGGCGCCAAAACTGCAACAGAGAGCTTCCCGGATGCGGCATCTAGTCCTTCTGGCCGAGTCTAACCTTAACAGTCTTGAATAGCAGTCTAGTCATTGCAGAAATCGCTGAGCCGGGTAAGCAAGTTTGGCAGCAGTTAGTCTTAGCATTGGGTCTCAAATCCGGGACAAGAGGCCGAGGTGCCATTAAGATATCAAAGCCATTGCAGGCTGCCAGGTTCTCCCTCAGTCCCTATCTGTTAGGGGGTACGATGATATACTCTGTCCCCTACCCTAAACTTCTCCAGCCCAGGAGATGGGCTGCCCTTCCCCAACTGCTCTTCCCCACTGATCCAACCATTTTCTTTTTGTCTATCCTTTCCTCTCTTGGGCAGTCTCTTCTCTCAGGCCGACCCACTTGGTTGGCAGCCAGCCCCTCTTCTTCCCCCTCTCCCCTCGACTCACGGCCCTGCTTACTCTGGACTTTCCCAGATAACCCTGTCTATGCTTTTTGATCTCTCAACCGTAGTTAGGTCTAAACTTTAAATGTAATTGTTAATCATCACAGACCTTATTTTCGAAGTTCATTTTCTTAGTGCACAAAGTAATTATGGGCTGTTTCCCCTGTCTCCCTTCCCTGTCCCACACAAAATGATTGCATAATTTGTTAAATTTCTTAACAGTTAAAAATTCTAGTGAGGGACTGGTTAGATTCCCTCATAGGCAGACAGAGAAGGGGCAGCGGGGCCATGCTACATTAATAAAGGCGACAAACTTCCGAAGGCTAGCTTCTTTCTCACCTTTGCTCAGAGACAAAACAAAACAAACCTGGCAGCCTAAAACAAGAGCCTGGTGGCCTTTTCCCGCCTATCCTTAGGCCCCCTGCTGACGGACTTGCTTAACAAATTCATGAGGCCAGATCAGAACATGCAGTTGTGGGCCAGTAAGCCATCCTTTCCTTCAAACTGACAAACCCTAGGTTAGGGGAGGAAGGCTCCTCAGGAAAAAACAGAAGACAAAAGCCAGACCTTGAGAGAGGATTTTCAGCTTCAGGATCCCCTCCTCTCTGTTTTTCGTAGGGTCTTTCCCTCCGTGTTTCTGCTCCAACCCTGTGTTTTCCTCACTACCCCTCCCCAACAAAAGCCTTTCTTCAAAGGTGATTCAAGCTGCTGTGTTTGAGATTTCTCCTTTTCTGCCTGTCAGGCTTGAGATTTTTCCTGCCTTTTAGTTCTGTAACTGGCATAGAAAACAAACCCCATCAAGGCCCTTAGATGGTAAGTAACACTGGTCTGTAACAGAGGTACAGATGTTATTGCATTAGTAACTAAACTCTTAACTAAATGGATAGACTACATTGTTGGCATTTTATTTTAGTACTTTTAATGATGTATTTTAAAATGCCACATACATTTCTCTTGAGAGATGTATTGGATGGAGGTGTAGAGAAAGAGAAATTGTGCTCCCTCTCCCAGGAGAAGAGAGAGAGAGGAAAGTAAGAAGCAGGGGTTCTTTTATCCCGGGTCCCTGGTGGCAGCCAGTAATGACATCACAGGTTCCTAAGCAACCTAGCAGTGGACTAGTGCATCAAGACGTGTGAACTAACATTCCTCCCTGTTCCTCTAATTAAATAAAAAAGAAAAGCTAGGAAGGAATGGTGAGGGAGGAAGGGAGGATGTTAGACTGCTTCTCACACAAGAGAATTTAAAGCATAAAAATGAAGGTTCATTGGATGCAGCTCTTGGCTGCAAGGAGATGAGAGAGAGAGAGAGAGAGAGAGAGAGAGAGAGAGACAACAAAATGTCTGGATTACATGGTGAGGAGGAGGGGAAGTTTCTGCCCTGGAAAGTTCAGGATAGAGGACAGGGTTTGCCAGCCATGTCCAGCAGCAGATAGGGACTAAGGAATGCTAGAACATGGAGCTGCTTGTCCCAGGCCCAAAGGACACTGTTACTTATACTTCTAACTCCCTTCCAACCCTCATTCCACCCTAATCCCTTTCCACCCCTCAACATTAGGTAGGAGAGAAAGAAGGGTGGAAAGGGGGAATATACCTCTAAAGACAGTTTCCTATTGATTAGGGTTGTCAGTTTCCTAAGAGCAAGTCCGATCTTGTCAAGACATCTCCAACTTCTTCTTGCTGTTGTCAAACCATGGACGACAGCAACCGGGAGTAGCAGAGGGAGCAGCCTTCTCTTCAGAGAGCCCTGGCCCCTCTCCGGGCTCTAGCAGTTATGCCCTCTCAAGAATTCCAAATGTAACTATCTGCAGCTGGCAAAAATCATGCCGGAGGTACACCATAATCACCTGCTGTGAGGCAGCCTCTCATCCCACACCTGGGATTAGAACGAAATCATAGTCACATAACTGGGTTTTTAAACAAGCCAGAACTCTCCCTACACCACATTTCACCTAAAAAGAAAAGTACAGCCAAGGACGTAGCTGAACTGAGAGTGCTTAGCTCTTCCAAAGGACCTCGATTTCACCCTCAGCACCCCAGAGGTGGGAAAAACTGTAGGCAAGGGCACAGGGAAAGCACAAAACTAAATCACTTTGCAGGTAGAAAGGTTTGTTGGGGTGTGTCTCTGGGAGTATTGGAACAGCCAATGGCAGAATGAGCCTTACCAGTTTTGAAGGGACAGGTAGCAGCTGGATGAGGCATGTGAGCCAGAGCAGCCTGGGAGTTAGGGCAGGGCAGAGCGGCAAGGGAGCCCTAGAAGGGGACTTTGATCATTTGTAGGTTTGTTTGGGTTAATCAGGAACTAGATGACCAATGAAGGGGGGGTGAATGAAAAAGAAGTAATTGATTTTCCTGTCAAGTAAAATGCATGCCCTTCATAGGATTTCTAAGGAATGCTGCATTTATGTGTTTTTCCACTAGCAATCGTATGTCAGATGTTCGGGATTACATGGGACTAGTGATGGAAGAAGAGAGGAAGAATTTAGGCTTCTCAGCGGCAGGGGTATCAGCCTCTGCAGGACGAAACCCGAAGCCCTTTTTACAGAGCCTCTTTTTTGTTACACAAAAGGCACCTTTAGCAAGTCAGTTATCTGATAGAGTTGTCTTGAAAGACTCATCACCTTAAGCAAATCTCAACAATATGAGAATTCCTAGTTTGCCCATTGGGTGTGCATGCGTGTCTTGTGACTAAGTTAAGCAAAGGTTCTGAGAATCCTTCAAAAAAACAAACCATTAAAAATCTCAGATAACAATCACTGACAAAAGGCCTGACTAGTTACTCTAAAATGTTAGAATACAGGAGCTAAACAGTACATGAGAAAATAGTTGTATATGTATATAAAAATATATACACGTTACTATTGTATTAGAATATATATCAAATTATATTATGTATTTTGTAATACATTACTATATATTATAGTATGAAAAATAAGCAGATTTACATAATGAGCCTGACCGACTTTTTAACAGGATTCATTTTCTTAATGAGACAGAACAAGTCTGAGTTTTCTGTTCCTCAGAAAAAGAAACTTCAGTTACAGGAAAAAACCAAACCAAACCAAACCAAAACAAAACAAAAAAACCTGCAGAAATGGGTTTGGCTGAGACATTTGGCCTAGGGAGATAAGGTTGTTTAGCTACCCGCTTGAGAGACCCCCTAATGCATGATCAGAGTCACATAGCCTACAGAGCACAGGCCAAGCTCTGATGGTAGTCAAGTTGCCCTGATAGGTACCTACAATTTTGGGGCGGTTTGAACCACTCTACAGAGGCCCCAACCCCTAATCAAGCTCTAGCCAATCCTCAATACCCTCATACCCTTGCTTTTGGCCTTCGACATCAAAATAAAGATGACGTAACTGTCCCTGAAATTCCCCTAGTTGACTTTAAATAGAGCCTGAGTGCCCACCTTGGGGTAGGCATTCTGCCTGGCCAGTGATCCCTGCATGCTGAACTTCTGCAGAATAAATGCCTTTTATTGTTTGCACGCTACTTGAGTTTGGGGTCATTCTTTTAGCATATTCTGGATCCTAACAATAACTATTCTGATTTTCTAATAAGAGAAAGAAAACACATTTACTGTTACTTTTGGTTTTTCAAGACGGAGTATCTCTGTGTATTGACAAGTGACTATATTACCCTAAGGAAAAAAAAATAGGACCAGTTTTTAAAGGTCTTAAGAAGGTAGTATTTGTAAAATAATAGCAGGTCTTTGTGTAAATTGTAATTACATTTAATATGTAATTTCCTATTAAATTACAATAACATTTAAGTTTTTATAAAAAAATGAAAAACGAATAAAAGATTGTAAGTCAAAGCATCTTTTCTTAGACAAGCTCATTTCTATGTGTAAAAAATTAATACATTTTTCACAAATTCACAGTAATTACTTTAAACAAATACATGACAGAATTATAGAAAACAAACATAATTGGAAAGTACAATTGTACAACAGGACCTATAGCGTCACAGGTTACTTGAAATAAAGTTATTTCAGTGGAAAGAAAGAAAGAAAGAAAGAAAGAAAGAAAGAAAGAAAAGAAAAGAAAAGAAAAGAAAGAAGTCATTATGTGTTCCTTTTAGTTCCTTTAGTGTCCATTAGTATGTAGTTGTTAAATCTCATGAGGAATCTCAGGAAACTACTACCATACTCCTGATCTTTGTTCCTCATTTCCGGTTTTTTCAAAAAACATGAAATCCTGAATAAAAAAAAAAAGAAAAGAAACGCGTTTCAACAACAACCACAGAGACAAAGCAAAGTTACAAAAACCAAGCACCACTGGAACAATGCGAAACTGTAGTTCTGTAAGCTCCCCCTCCCCCTTCCCATCCTGATAGCACTGAGTTAAACACTTCCCCCCTCCCCTGTTCTCTACCAGTCTGATTGGATCCTTTACAAATTCTCTGGATACCACTTCTTTTTTATACCCACACCTTCAAATCTTTCCATCTCGCTTCCTGAAATTTTGCTAGTCCTTTCTAGTAACTTAATGTTACTAGTGACAGAGTTCCAGATTCAGCTTTCCACTTGGGGCTGATGGAGCCTTCTCAGTCAGAAAACTTTACAGGTGAAGTTTGCTGGCCCTGGGTCAGGAATTTTCTTCTGAAGGGGCTTACTGTTCCTCCTGAATGGTTTGCCCTATGAAAGTCTAGCTAGAAATTTCCTCTTTGGTTTCTATCCAATCTTATAGACTTTAATTCTTTGATCTCTTATTTCCTTTTCCCATTCTCTCCCATTTGCTCTTCCCTTGGCTTGAACAATAATAGTGTTGCTTCTTTTCAACACAACTGTCACACGATCACCAGGACTGATACTTGAAAATTTGGTTTACCAACAGTTCTACCTAATTTTGAATGAGCAAGTTAACTAAATTCTTTTTTATTTGCTTGTTTGTTTGTTTTGAGACAGGGTTTCTCTGTGTATCTTTGGCTATCCTTCACTCACTTTTGTAGACCAGGCTGGCCTCAAACTCACGGAGATCCACTTGCCTCTGACTCCCCAAGTGCTGGGATTACAGGCATGCACCACTGAACCCTGCAACTAATTCTAAATGATCTACTCTATGCCCTAAAAAGCTGCCAACTTCCCCAAAGCACCAATTTATTGTCTGACAATCACTCCAAGCCCTAAGACTTTCTTTGACTTATGCATGTTTACAGTCTTCTCAATAAACTGTCCTAGATTGTGTCCACAGTGTCATGTTAAATGAAATTTCAGACCAAGTTGAACTGTAAATACTAGCATAAAAACCTAGTCATTTCATAAGGCATTTTGGAGCACCAAATGACTTCAGAATGACACTATACAAGAGCCACTGACAAAGAAAGAACATTAGCAGGAACAGACTTACTATGAGGAAACAGGCTCCAAGCATTACAGCTTTCATCTTCACATCAAGATCAAGAGGGAACTGGATCCCAAAGTTATCTGCATCTGTGAAGGCCTCTTTCACCAAACCAGACCACTGCTTGGAAATTTTGCCAACTACAGATTCTTCATCTAGGGATTTGAGCTGGGTAGCAATAAAGTAAAATAAAGTCATAAGCATTCCGAAAACTGAATGGCAAACATATTTTCAAAACTGCAATTCAATGAAACACATATTTGCAGTAAATTATATAGTGATATGCATCAACAGATTTAAGTAAGTAGGTCCCTACAACTATTTATTGTGTACTAACAAAAAACTAACATTTTGTTCCTGCTAGTATAAAAAATATAAATTCTTACACTCAATGCAAATTTAATAGAAAAAAAATTTTTTTAATGTTTCACTGATACACTGTCTAGAGCACTGTCTAGGAAAGATAATAAATGCAACCACTTTTCAAATTCTGCTTCAAGAAGTGTAACTTATTGTAGGAAGACAGTTGCTAAGTGTTGCAGAAGCTCATTGTCAACCATGGGATAGTGGGCAGTGGAGGGCTGATGAAATGCAAAAGCCCAGAAAGAGCTAATGATCAGCTAGTGAGTGGAAAGAACCAACAAGAAGCTCCATGAGAGGCTGCCTGGGTAGAGATGGGGTAGGACTTGATAATTAGTGGAGTATAAAGAACACAAGAAGAAAGGCATGTGAGGTCAGACTTCCAATGTAAAAAGATTCTGATTTGGGGGCTCTGTGGCAGGAAAGCCCAGGGCGCTGTTATACAACAGAACAGATGGACCCCAAGCTAAAGCCACTCCATAGAGGGCACATGGATGCTCACTGAAGTAGGAACACATAGGCTTGCACGCCGTGAGAAGGAGACATGCACTTTCCACACCTGCCAAGGGCACCAAAGGTGGGAACAGCTCCCTTTAGAGCCCTTGCCCCAGACAGGATCCACCAAGTGGACATGGACATTAGAGGTATTCACACTGTGACATGGCTGGAGGAGGAGTGCACCTCTATCCTGAGCCAACTCCCAGGCTATTGCTCAGACAGTAGTAATTGCATTCCACGCACAGGGTAGGCCTAGTGCACTTTGCATTTTGTCACGCGTCTAATTTTATGACAGGGTGTGACAGAAGACTTGGGTGTTCACTATGGCTTGGCCTAGATGTGAGCCGATGGAAGGTCAAAGTGAAGGTTTACATGAGCTGTCATCGATGCACGGAAACTCAGCTGACCTAAAGGCCATCATGTGAACCCAGGGCTGTCTGTTTGAAGCCATGAACCATTAAAGTTGTGTCAGATATGATGCTGTGATAAGCTGGTCCAAAACAGACCCTGTTTTGTAATATCTTAGTATTTTACGTGCAATAGCTGCCATTCAAGCACTTATAGATAGTCATAAAGGGACACGTGAGCCGAGACTGATAGAGGACTGAAGATGACACAAACAGTACTGAGTGAAGGGCCAAGTGGCTTTCCACTCATCCATTCCCTCTGCAGTGTTTACTGTATAAATCAGGAAAACTAAAATGTTCTTAGAAAAGACATTTGTAAAGCAGAAAAATATGATAATACTCTATGATGAAAGTATGGGACAAGTTGTCTCCTTCACAAGATCTTATTCTCTATTAATCCTTCCCTTGATGAAAGAATTGAACAGACCCAGGCAATGAAATAAAGGTGGCAAAGATCATGTGGCAGCTTTAGGCCACAGAGGAAAGGGTGCTTGATCACTGCAGTAAGAGAGCACACGAGCAGGCTTCTTGACTGACACTTAGGATGCTATGTGTAGGACCTTGTTGAGTGGATGCGGGAAGATGACTCACATCCAAGCAGAATGGAGCACAGCCTGGGGTTAGTTTTCACACTATTAGAAAAAGGATGAAATTTACAAATCATAGAGTATTCTTTATGGAACCTTCTATTGCATATTTTCAAGCCACTGTTTACTATAGGGTAATGGAGCCTGTGAAAAGTAAGAGCTTGAAAAGGTAAGACTTTTGCCATTAGTAAGGTATGATCATCAGTGTTTGGATCCCCACCATCCATGTGAAAAGATAAGTAAATGCCTGTGTTCTATTTCTTGTAGGGAAAGTAGACACTGGGTCTAAAAACCGAAAGCACACACTTTCCCCAGGATAGCTGGAGCTCGTAATGCAGAACAAGGGGTGCAGAAGAAAGGAACCAGGAAGCCCCCTTCTGTGGCTTGGTAAACGCTTCTATTTGAAATGTGCAATACAAAGTATAAACAAACACACGTTAGTCTGTTTATGTGTGTATAATACGACTGCAGGGATTTATGTATGTGCATGTCAGCATACGCTGTGTGGAAGCCAAGTCATTAGACATACTGGTTTATTGCTCTCCACTGTGTTTTTGAGACAGGGTCTCTCACTGGATGATGCAGCAAGGCTGCAAGCCTCAGACAACCTTTTGTCCCCATCTTCCCAGTACTGAACTGGGCATTTGCTGCTATGCCATGCTTTTTACATAGATGCTGGAGATCCAAATACAGATTATTTTACCTGGAGAGCAAGCACTTTATCAACCGAGCTATCTCCTCAGTAAAATATACAAAGGTTTTAAACTTTCTTTCCTTTTTTTCCACCCTTACTACAGACCTCTGCTTTTTATCTACACTGAATGTTATTCAGAGTAATGGTTAATCATTCATCAGATGAGCACACATGGGTTCACAATGTTTAGGTAATACAATAGTAACATCCTATATTCTTTTTATGTCAGGAAAACACATTGTGATGCTTCTTACCTCAAAGTCAATGTCGAAGCAGCAGCTACACACAATACATGGACCAACAACTTTTAGAATATCCTGCCTTTTCTCATTTTGGAGAGTGAACTTTGGCAGACACGGGTGCCAGGTCTGAGTCACATAACCAACTGGCACACCAGGAGGAGCTTGGATCTCTATCTACAAAAGCAAGAGTGCACATTGAATGTAAGCATAGCCATACAGTCCAGGCTTAATGCGTGCTGGAAAACTCTTGTGGAACTTCTTCTCAAGCTGCTATGGGAACTCCACACTGACCTCCTGCAGGCAGCAGGGGAAGCAACAGCTATTGCATCTCAGGGGTCTCTCCAGAGTCATGACTTCTCGGCCCAGGTTATCCAGGATCCTCATGGTGAAAGGTCTGGCTGCTCCGCAGCAGTTTCGAGTGCAACAGTCAGTATCTTCCACAGCAAAGTAAACTCTCTGCCCGAGGCTGTTCTTGATTTCGTATTTGTTATTCGTCTCAAAGCCAATTAAGGCTGAAAATATACAGGGAAATCACATTCACTAGTTTGATAGGAATAATGACTCTCTCCTAAGATAGTAGTGGGTTGCTGTGCATGACATTACAAGCAGCAGCAGGAGAGGGGAGGCAAGCAGTGCCGAGATGAGCTGGACGCAGAAAATGGCAGAGGGAAAGGAGGAAGACTAGTCAGGTAGGAAGCAATGAAGTACATACGGGAGACCTTGAAAGAATAGAAGCTGAATCTCTACCCCCATGGACTCTGGCACAAGAGGGCCTTCAGTGTCTGGGGGCGGGGGCGGTGCAGGGCTGAGCAGGAAGGTGGACCTAGATGTAGACAGGAGGCTCTTAGCAGCCCTATCTTCAAATCACAGCCTACAAATGCTATGACATCATGGGCCGACAGCACAGTGCTTAGTCCTGTCACCCAGTTTCAAATGCTGGGTCTCGTCACATTGGCTTTGACATTGGGATCTTTTATTTTGGTTCAGCCAGGAAAGACAGAATAAATGTCCTTCCTTGGGCTATGGACATTTATGCTGGGATCATGGTTCATCAGAAGACTGTCAAAATCAGGGGTAATTATTTAAAATTTGTAGAAACTCAAAGTACCCCATGCTATCTACATGCAAGGAATTCTGGTAATCTGGAGATGTTCTCTGTCCTGATGAACTCAGTGAAGTACCTTTGGTGGGGCTGAGACAGTCTCTGAGTTCAACATTCATGAGAAGTTCTTTTCTTTCAACACTGCCACTCAAATCATTTTTAGAAGATAATTGTTTGTTGGTCTCCTGCCCCCCACCCCCACCCCACTGCCAGAAATTGTGGCCATTGGTCCCTGAAGACAAAAGGAACCAAACACTCTTTTTCAGTGTTTACTTCTTTTTAAAATTAAGGCTGTGCTTGATTTTCTTACTGCCAGAAATTGTGGCCATTGGTTCCTGAAGACAAAAGGGACCAAACACTCTTGGATCTCTATCTACAAAAGCAAGAGTACACGTTGAATGTAAGCATAGCCATACAGTCCAGGCTTAATGCGTGCTGGAAAACTCTTGCTTTCAAGGCATGAGGTGGAGCAGGGACTCTGAGGACCATGAGCACTCGTAATGATCTGGGACCAGCTGCAGGGAGGCAGATCAACTTTATTCCAGGGGTGAGGATAATATACAGAACTTTGAGGAGGAGGTAGAGAAATCCAGAGTGGCCAAAGGTCATTGGCTGAGGGGCTAGGGTACTGAGATGCCTCATTTACAAAGGGGGGAATCGCAGGTGCTTCCTGAATAGGCTCTACTGGAAGAAAGAGAGTTGAACCTGTGATTTCCCTAATGACTATGTGACATTCCTCAGGTGAGGGTATGGGGCCAGGGATCACCCCAAGGGAGTGAAGAGGAAGTCTTGCTGACAAAGGGAGTCGGCCATTTTGCACCAAGCTCAGGGCTTTTCATTAGCAGCAGAGTTTCCAGACAATCATTATCCAATCTACTGCTGTTTTAGGTGGTTTTTGTTTTTTGTTTTGTTTCGTTTTTTTTGAGATGGGGTCTGTGTAGCCTTGGCTGTCCTGGCTGAACTCACTTTGTATACCAGGTTGGCCTCAAACTCACAGCAATTCACCAGCCTCTGCCTCCTGGAGTGCTGGGATTACAGGAATGGGCAGGGCTCCTGTTTTACCATCTTAACCTCAAAAATCTTGACTCTCTAATTTTCCTTGTGATTACTGAAAAAAAAAAATAAAGAAAACTGAAACCACCCAAACAATTTTATGTTTATATCTTTCTTGCACATTTAGATTTGAATACAGCAAACTCAGTAACCAGTGATGTACACTCAAAATGTAAAACCTGAGTAATTTCATTATTTTTGTGTTATACATAATATAAAAAACTAAATAAAAAATTCATTTTGTAAAGAAATAAGAAAATCAAGGACAGCCTTGATTTTAAAAAGAAGTAAACACTGAAAAAGAGTGTACTTTAGAATAACTTATATTTCGTGACTTACAGATGCAGTCCACAGTATCTTAAACCATATAAACGTAAGAAAAACTGTATTAAAGGGTTGCAGCATTAGGACAGTTGAGAACCACTGCAAGAGAGACAGCTGTGATCGCCTGGCTGAACCTTCCACCAGAGAGTGCTGTAGGAGAGACAAGTGACAGGCCTGTTTTTGTATGATCTGCTTCTATTTCTACAAGTACTGATACAAACCTTCCAGAAGTTCAACTTGCTGATGAACCAGAATCTGATCAATCTGTTAAAGAAAAAAAAAAAAAAAGAATGTGCTTGAAATTATCAATGTCTCATATTTGTATTGTTTTTTTTTATATAAAAGATAATATTCAAAAAATTGCAAAACATTTGTGGAAATTATTTACTACAAGATAGCATTTTGGCCAAATTGATTTACAACAAGCAACATTCTTTCTAAAAGAAAAGTTTTTCAAGGAATATTCATGGGTGACTGATGTCATCATTTGTAGTACAGCTACACACACACACACACATATATATATATATATATATATATTTTTTTTTTTTTTTTCTGGTTTGTAAAGGACCCTAATTTCATAAAAATCTATCTTGAAGTCATTTCATGGTCAGATAATTGCTAAAATTTTCTCCGTTCTATGCTTTTGAATGCCCTGTGGAAAATTAAGTTCACACAGAGTATCCACCGAGATGCCCCATTGACTGGGAACTGGGTGGTTATCACAGGCTATTTGTTTACGTGTTTATCGACTGAACATATTAACTGCTACTAATCCACCTAATTTCCTTCATCAAATAAATGCTAAAAGTCATACTCCTGTAATTCATGATCATGTAGTGAAGCATATTCTTGGCCTATTTATTTGTAGGATTTAAAAACTCCATCATTCAAAGGTTACAAGCAACAGCATAAATAAGAGCTTTATTGGTGTTAAAAATATAAGTCATTGGGCTGGAGAGATGGCTCGGAGGGTAAGAGCACTGGCTGCTCTTCCAGAGGTCATGAGTTCAATTCCCAGCAACCACACGATGGCTCACAACCATCTATAATGAGATCTGGTGCCCTCTACTGGCCTGCAGGTATACATGCAGGCAGAACATTGTATACATAATAAATAAATAAATCTTAAAAAAAAAAAAGTAATATTATGAGGGCATGAATTGGGGTCAACATGAAAAAACACTGAGTTTAGTACCAAAGTCCAGATTAGAAGGCCAGGACCACTACCATGTAAAGGGTATATAATTTTTTGTACAATATTTTTTTTCTTCTAAGAAACATAATTATAACATATGTATTTCAGAGATTTTTCTACAATGATTAAATAATACAGGAACTGATTAGGAAACTGAATTGAAAATGGTGCTTAATAACTATTGTCTAGGTAAACCCAAAATTACGGAATACACAATTACTTTGGACATTAATATTTTTCTTAAAAAGTGAATCTGTTCTATAAAAGTTAGAAGTATCTGCTAGTAGAAAACTTTTTCCTACTAAAAAAAAATTATTTATTTATTTTTTGTCTATATGCCACCTTAAAAACCTGAAGCATATATTTGTTTGTTTGGATTTTTTTTTTTTTTTTCATGAGCAGTTCATGCATTTACACTTGCCTGAGTTAAGTATTCCAGCCCAGGTGGGCAGTTCAATGGAGGAGGTGGTGCCGGCATCCATGGGGTCCCTCCAGGCCCACCTGGATGGTTATATTCGGGCTGATTTTGGACAGGAAAGCCACTTGGGCCAGCACCTGCATAACCTCCTGGCGGGACTGGGTAGCCAGCTTGTGGTCCTGGGTAGGGAGCTTGGGGCCCTGGGTAGGGAGCTTGGAACCCTGGGTAGGGACCCTGGGGCCCTGGGTAGGGACCCTGGGGCCCTTGGTAGCCACCCTGAGGTGTGGGATAGCCATTCTGTCCTGGGGGTCCTGAAATAAAAGCAAGTGAAATAGATCATAATTGCACAGAAAAACCAGTTCACTAAAAGTACTCCAATTATCTACCAACTGAATTTTCATATCAGAAACCCTATAGATACAGGACCTACGTCATGGTGCAACTTTTTATCTGTCAGAAATTGTGTTCTAATGACTGAGAATGGAAAATAAAATAAGCTCAGTCCTATAGCCATGACATAAACCTTCTGGCATTCGGGGCTAGAACACCCCAAGTGAAGGCTCTAAGCTAGGGTTTCAAGGACCCAAAGCACCCTGAATAGAAAACATAATTCTAGTGTTTCAGAAAGCACATATCTACACACACACACCCGGAAAGGAGTTTTCTCTCTCTCCCTGGCAGACAACTAGGGAATACATGGACTATTGTTTATCTGCTTGAGTTGGGGAGACGGATGGTGCTGTGATCCCCTGGCTGGAATCCAAGGCTGTTACTAAACATGACCCAGGAAGAACAACAGGTTCCAGGAAAGAAAGAATTGCTTAACCTAAATATCCCATGCCACTGCTGAGAATTTCCTAGTATAAATTAAATATATAAATGATATCCTAATACATAATTAAAGACAAATCGTTCTTTCTGGTACTCTCCAGACACTTGTCTGCCAAGAGACAAGTGTAATGCAGTGTATTCCTCTGCACTTACGCACATTGAAAAAAAAATAACAGATCTCATCTCCATTTTCTTAAGGTTTTACATTTAAATCTCACAATTTAGCACCATATGAGCTTTAGAAAATTTAGGTGATTAACCAAGCAATGTAAAAATTGTGAGACAAATTCTTTTCCCATTAGCATCATCATTTTATTTATGTGTATGGGATTTCTGCCTGCATACACGTGCACCAGGTGCATGCATGTTGCCTGTGGCACTCAGAGGAAGGCATCAGATCCCTGAGGCTGGACATACAGACCATTGTGAGACAACATTTGGGCACCGGGAATCAAACCCAGGTCCCCCGCAAGGGCAACAAACACTTTTAACCACTAAGCCAACTCTTCAGCTCCATGGAAATGCTTAAATGATTAACAGCTAGAGAACAGGAGGGAATTAATGCATGTATGTTTCATATTTTCTATGAAGGAATGATTACAATGAGCTTCCCAAGTCTACAGAGTATTTGCTACATAGAAACAGAACATATTTTATTGATATAATATATTGATATGTTTATCAACATAATATATTGATACTGTGCAATGAGCATCAATGTTTCACACTGAAAGAGTAAAGTTTAATACTTAGAATCCACAATGGATAAATAGAAGACTTCTGACAAATTCATGCCTCATTCAAAACAAGGCTTAGAAAAATGACTATGCCTCACAAAGAACTTTAATTGCCCTCATAATTTCTGTCATAGCAAAGGGTCATTAAAGATAAATATATGGCAGGTTCTTGTGTAGAATTCAGGGGTACAGGAAGGAAAACTGTCTCATGAGGCTTACAGTCAGCTTTTGGTACATTAACAAACAAAAATGTGCACTGATGTGAAGGGTAAAATCAATGGGCAAGATGGTGGCAAAGAAGGTGGTTACTTCATATAGATTACTTTATGCTGATACCTAAGCCATAAGAAAGGAAGTGCTCAGTGTGAAGGCCTGATGAGAGGTGACTGAGGAGGAATGAAAGAGTATGTCAAACCCCTCACAATGAGAAAATAGGGGGAGACAAGTTTACCCACTCTAACTATGACATGAACTGAACCATTTTCCCTCTGCCTTACATTTTATAACTTGCTGGAAATTTACCCAACACCAGTTCTTTACGAACTCAGAGCAGAGATTTTCAAGCCTTGTCTTCAGAGTGGAAGTACCTGGTAAATGTTCCTGAGCTCCCAGGTTTGCTAGTATCCTGTTCCTGATACATTTAAATCACTCTTAAGTGAAGTCATGGTTGATAATTACAAGTTAGAGCCTTGGCCCTTAGTCGGATCATATTCCTTAATATATTACAAACATCTGGATAAGGACCCACAGAGCAGTTTCTAGGACATTCTGTTTGCTCAGCCAAAAAAAAAAAAAAAAAAAAAAAAATCAAACCAGAATGCATACACCCTTCTATGCAATCAGTACATACTAATCCCCAAGCTGTTTTTTTGTTTGTTTGTTTGTTTGTTTGTTTGTTTTCAGATATGGATAACCTGCTATTGGAAAATCTGAGTAAACCATGTACCTGGGCATTTGCAAAGATCGAATAATCCTGACAACTGCATTTGCTAGATGAAAATCTTTCAATTACTTTATGCAATGGTTCAAATTAAGACATATAATGATAGGATTCATCAACTTTTCTGAGACATGAACACCAAGAATCATCATAATTACAGCATGAAAGGTTTTTTCTTTTTCTTTTTTTTTTTTTTTTTTTTAGTAGTGGGGATTGAACTTATGTTCTCACCCATGCAAGGTAAGCATTCTACAAATTTGCTTCATGTAAGCCTCATCTGTGTTTTTCATATTTGCTTCATGTAAGCCTCATCTGTGTTTTTCACATTTCAAGCTAAATGTCTGGCCCGCCTTGAACTCACCACCTTCTTGCTTCAGCTTGCTATGCTTCTGGGATTACAGAGCTGCACCTCTAGGCTTGGTTAAGAAAAAAGCTGTCTATAATATGTGTCACAAAGTGAAAACAAGAACCCTAGATAGCTTCCAGTGGTAAGCAGTCTCCTCATTTGTCTGTTACTTTACAATGACTTCCCAGTCCTACATGACTCAAAAACACTCAGGGAAAACTTGCCTAGCTCTCAAGACATGTTCACAGTCTTCACGACAGATGAGCAGTTGACAAAACTGACTCTTTTTTTTTTTTTAATTTTATTTTTCTTTTTAGTTACATTTTGTTAACTCTGTGTCCCAGCTGTATCCCGCTCCCTCATTCCCTCCCCAACCCCACACTCCCTCCCTGGTCTCCTCCCTGCCCCTTTCCAAGTCCCCTGATAGGGGAGGACCTCCTCCCCTTTCATCTGACCCTGTTTTATCAGGTATCTTCAGGGCTGGCTGCAAAGTCCTCCTCTGTGGCCTAACAGACTGCTCCTCCCCTGGGGTGGGGGTCAAACAGCCTGCCCTTGAGATCCTATTAGAAATAGTCCGTGTTCCCCTTACTTTGGAAAACTACTTGGTTACTGAGCTACCACAGGCCACATCCGAGCAGAAGTTCTAGGTTATATCCATAGATGGTCCTTGGTTGAGTGTCAGTCTCAGAAAAGACCCTGTGCCCAGATATATTTGGTCCTTGTAGAGCTCCTATCCTTTCCATATCATACTAACTTCCCTTCTTTCATATGATTCCCTGCACAAAACTGACTCTTAATGATGTGTTCTAAGCGAAACATGGTTGCTCAATATAAACATACTCCAGATGTCACAGGTCTCCTTTGCAACCCTTCCTGCCCTCTATTAAAAAAGCAAACAAACAAACAAAAAAAAAAAAACCAAAAAACAAACAAACAAATAAAAAAAACTCATGGAAAACACATGGAACAAAAAAAAATCAAAAAAGTTAAACTGTCAAAATTCCTTTAACGTAATTTCTTGAAGAAGAATTAGTAAAATAAAGACACCTGTGCCCCCACTCTTTTTTCTTTCTCTCCCTTCCAAATGTCAACCGATGTGTTATTTTTTCCTTCTGCAACAAGGAATTTTACCTTGGTATGCTGCTGGTGGATACTGAGGGCCATATCCAGCTGGCAAATGTGTTCCTTGGTAAGGAGCCTCAGGTTGCATGCCTGTAATTCAGAGAGAGAAAGTATATGTCAGCTTAAATGAGATGTGCATCGGGAAGACGAGGACACAGTACCCAGATAATGTGTGATGCTGAAAGGAAGCAGGCAAAGTAGATTCAACACATGAGTGCTGCCTGTAAAAAAGCTGACATGAAAGACTCTTGTTTTAAACATACTGTGAAAATTGATTCATACAGTTCAAAGAATGACATGTGTTTTATGGTTTGGAAATTTAGCATGAGTATCTTAGAAAAATCATAGACCTATCAGATAACTATCACTTGAGAATATTTTATTTTACTTTTATGTATACATAAAGACACATATATACTTTTATGTGCACTTACTCATATACACATTTTATTTCTCATTAGGCACAAACGTACCTATATGAATATAATAATCAAAAAAGTGATTGTGTCACAGTAGTGAAATGAATTTTTCTAAGCTAAATGAACTGCTAGCATGTAAAATAGCTCGAGTCTACACAAAATAATATTCCAATGACTTTAATTTTTTTGATTGACACAAAAGCTTGATTGTTTGATTGTTTTGATTGATACAAAAGTCATTAAGAAAACTAAGTGAGCTGGGCACAGTGGCACATGCCTGTAATCCCAGCAATCAAGGAGGCAGAGACAGGAGGATATCTGTGAGTTTGGGGCCAGCCTGGTTTACAAAGTGAGTCCAGGACAGCCAGGGCTACACAGAGAAACCCTGTCAGAAAAGAGAGAAAGAAAACAAGAAAGAAAAAAAGAGAGAAAGAGAGAGAGAGAGAGAGAGAGAGAGAGAGAAAGAAAGAAAGAAAGAAAGAAAGAAAGAAAGAAAGAAAGAAAGAAAG